ATACAAACAATAAAATAAGAAATTACAATGCAAATGGGAAAAAATAGAATGCAAAAAAAAATAATTAATTAAACAATTCAAATGATTTTTTACAGTTCAAATGGAAAGTATATTACAAAATTACGGAAAAATGTAAAAAAATAGAAAACAAAATTCAATACAAATGGAAAACCCTACTATATAAATGGTAAATTATGGAGAAAAAAAAATTATATCATACATATGGGGAAAAAATAAAAAAATTGCAACGTTTGACATTTCATACCCTATATAGTGTTTGTTGCTCATATGGCTTAGTGGATGTGTCGTTTGCTCTACAGTTGCGAAGCAAGGAGTTGATCGTTATGTTGTGGTTTGAATCTATTGCAAAACGTGGAGACCGGTCCATAGGATAAGACCATATAAACCGAGGTCCCCTGTCGCTGTAGATTTGGACACAAAAAGATCCCTCATTGCTCAAGTATCTGTATACAAACAAACCATCCAACGTTTTTTTTTTTGGCTTACATGCTTTTAAAATGATTATATGAATTTAAAAAATCAGGAAAAAATAAATTAGGAAAGACCTTGGCATACAAGAGGATGTTCTTGAAATATGTCCTCATTCATTTGACCACAACCCTCACCCAATTCAATTTTAGAATATGCTGTGTTAAAATCTATTTTAAAAAATCTTTCTTTTAAAAATCTCTATGGGCGATGCATGTGGTCTTCAATGTCTGCCTAAAAATCATGAGACTTTTTATTATTAGTTTCTCAAAACTTTTTAATATTTTAAATTAAATATAAGGCCATAATTTTAATTTAAAACTGTGATGTTAATATTATAAAAAAATGTATACAACATATTTGCTGACTCGCTTATAAATTCCAAATAACTATTTCTCAACAACAAAAATTGCTCGAAAATTTTGTAAGATCTTCAGTAAAAGGAAAACATGTGTTCTCTTGAATATCTTTTCCAATTTGCAAAACTTTCCTTTATTTTTGTATTTTGTTTTGTTGCTTTTATCAACTTGATATACATGTATAGGTTTATTGGACTTTTGAAGAATACTAGCTATAAACATCTATGCAACTGCATGGCTATACTGCACCTTTACAATTAATCTGATTTAGACTTCCTATCGCCTTTAGTAATTGGTTCAAAAGCCCAGTGGGGCGAATGCATGAGTTGATCAAATAAAAAAAAATAATTAGACTGTCTATACCACAGTACTTAAATTTTCAAATGCCTACTGTAGTTATTATCAACTGCTAATTTTCAAACTTTATGCAATAAACTGAAAACTTTATTTTCCTCAGCTAACAACTTTATCCTTATCATCGAAAGTGTCTATACTTTATAAATAAACTTCTCCAAGCTTAATATTCATATCTTTATTTATGTATGAACGTGACACTGCACACAAAACAAGAAAAAGAAATACATTTTTGTTTAATATTTTATCATCTTATCAACAATGGTAAAAATATTACTTAAATTTAGTTTTATTATTTCTCTGATGGATGTCAGCGTTTGGAATAACTGAAAATATAAAAACTAAAATTAATATACTACGACACTAAGCATGAATTCATCAGCAGCTTTGAGAAAAATGCTTTCTGGTTCCTGATAAGCAGATACATCGGTCTTGTAGAGCAGGTTTCCCCCGTTTTTATCTCCGGAAAATGCCTCGAGTACAATCCCTCCAAAAAAATCTAGGATTTTCCCATGGAAAAAGACTCTAGAATAGAGTCCCCTACGGAAGTAGATTCAATGTTCCGGTAGTAAATCCTACTCTGGGTATTATATCTATAGAGTGGGGTTTTCCCCTGTGTCAATGCCCATCAACGGTTTACTTATCTATGAGGAAGGAGTAGACATTGTAACATTTGTCCTTTTTCAGATCCTTTGACACAAGCGAAATTTGAGATCTGAAACTTCTAAATCTCATTTTTCTCAGTAACTGTTCGACAAATTCTTCTGAAGTCTTTAAATCTTATTCTTTTCGATTGGTCAAACTGGTTTCTAATAATAAATTGGTAAAATAAATTTGATGGACAATTTTTTAAAGCATCAATTGAAACAAAAATAATTTTATGCTAATTAGAGATTTTCTGTATTAATGCCTAGGTCACATTTAAGCCGATGGTCCGGCGACTAAATTTTTCTTGTATCGTCGGCTGAAAGAACATGATCGACCGGCACGAGTATCGGGCGACACGGAGCAGTCACAATTCCTAGGAACACCGATGACTTGGATAAATAACATAAAAAATCTTTTTTCATTAGAAATCAGCAATATTTTTTGTGTTATGTATCCTTTATAGGTTATATATTTATAAGTCGGCCAATCGTCGCCCGATCATCGAGCTCTGAGCTACAGTTTGATTTTAACCGTCGGGCAAAATTTTGGAAACCCTTATTGTCGAACGACGGACGGCCGACCTTATAAACTGACCACCGATGGTCGGACGATGATCAAAGGTTGGTCGACGGATTGCTTCAACTGAAGAAATCGGCCACCGACGCAGAAAAATTATAACTTGGACCGATGGACACAAAATTGGTCGGCCGACAAAAAAAAGAGGTCAAAATCGGGCAAGACAACGGGCGATGAACTGCCGACTGTCAGCCGAAGAATCCCATTTTTGCCTCAAAAACCGTAGGCCGTTTGTCGTTTTTTGAAATGTAACTGGGGTTTAACGGTACATAATATTGACACATAAGTGTATCTCAAAGTTTCCGGTAATTTATATTTAAATTAGCCACCATCGCCATGGAATTTGAAAAGATTTTTTTTTCTAAAATTTTGAAACTTAGGAAAATCTTAAAGGGCAAATTTTTGTCCTCTGCTTTTAAATTCAATATTACGCTGTTAGGGTCGATGTGACATACACATGCTTCGGTTTGCAAGTGCAGCGTTTCTTATATTGCTTGGTTTTGGCTTTTGTCCTCCCCTTTTCACCTTTGAAGAACTACTCAATTGAAATACTCAAAGGATTTTTTGAGTGACGAATTCGACAATTTTCTTTGAGTTAAATTTTGGATTGAGATTAAATGTTTAGAACTATACATTTAAGGATTTTGTACTAAATTTGACAATTCTTGAGTTGAAAACATGCGTATCTCTATCATGTTGTTAATTTTGCATTCTCTAAAGTAAATTTAAAATTTACAACATATTTCCATTAAAAAAAGTTTCATATACACTTTAAAAAAATACTAGTTATTGTTTTTATGATTTATGCACGGACAAAAAATGAAATATATGGAGATAACGAACAGTATTCAAACTCATACATGTAAGTCTATTAAGCAATACAAAATAGGAGCACAGCAAACACGGGCCTCCAAAATATCAGAGGTGGGATCAAGTGCCATGGAGGAGTAAACATCTGCCCACAGGTCACATCCACCGTATGCTCCTTGTCATGATCGGGAAAAACGGAAAATCCGTCGTCAATTCATTGTGTACATAATGGACTAACAATTAGTATGAAAAACGTCAGTCAGCAATTTGATAAATTATCATTGTAATAAATTCTTCTTTGAGAAAGAAAAAGGGGGGATTTGGATCTAAAATGAGATTTACTCTTGGAGGAATTTCCTTCTCTAGAGTAAAGATTCTGGGGGAAAGCTGGTTTTTGGAATTTTCTACTCTAAAACATCAGTATTATTGGCCGATCAGGAATAAAAATTGAACCCAGTTGACCAGTGTAAATAAAAAAGGATTAATGTCAGAAATTATGGCTGTAAAGGATTATATGTGATAACCATCTGGTAACAGTTATAAATTGTGTAAGAATTTCTGACCTCATCAATTTTTCTACAGAAATCAATGGCTGTGTGATTTACCTAGTCTGCGGCGACGCTGAAGCATGGCGTATCTTGACAAATCGGCAAAAAAATTCCTCAAGTCGGACAAGAAATGTTTAAAATATATTGACGACGGGGATCTTAGTCTTTGAATTTCTGTTCCGTCTTCATTTCTACCTGAAAGATTGTTTGCATAACACTTATAATTGTGACGGGAAAACAACTTCCTTTGGAACAATTGCCGACCATATGTCACCAAGTCAGTTTAAATAGCCGACTAGGCTTGAATTGATTTTTGCATTTATTCAGTGTCGATACCATGAAAAGGTCTCAATGAATTTAAATATTTGGTTTAAATATTTCTTTTCAAAAAATTAAGATGCCTATTAGATTCAGCAAGTGCATATCGGAAAATATGTAGAATCGAATTGCGCAAATTACCTTGACTTGTAAACATTCCCTAATTAACCCTATACCGAAAGCCTGCTCTTTGTCATCAAATGTAGGCATGCTTTTATTGACCCATTTAAATTATTTAAATTTTCTTCTTTTATAGTGAAATTAAGTACTAGTTTAACCTTTTTTTTTTTGGTCAAAATAGAAGGAACTTTTCCTCCGTATCAGCCCAAAGGAAATAATCACTTAATTTAGACTCAAAATGCGATCTGATTTGGAGAGAAGCAGTCATTCATTGAAAATAAAGATACTAAGGCAAATCTTTTTAAAAAAAAGTCTTTTATAGTTTTCCTTTCAAAAATTGCAAAAAATTGAACTACCTTTTATTTCTTCCAGCACTTTGTAATAAATTTACCAGTAAGTTTGTAATTAAAAGATCTTTTGCAATTTTCTCCATTAAGCTAAAATATGTCATTTATAATTTTATTTTTAAAAAATTTCTCCTTCCTCTCATTTAAAAAGATGCGCAGTAGTTGCGTCTTTACAACCACAGTAAAGAGATCTAGGGAACATGGCCACATAATATAATCATTTGGCCGTTCATACTCTTTCTTTATTTCGTAGGGAAAAAGAACGAAAACTGCAAAGTAATCTTGAAATGAGAAAAAAGGGGTAATCGCCAATTTTATCAGTGGCCCAACACGGCGAAAACTTGTATACCGTTAAAGAATCTGCCCTCAACTCTGAACTTTCCAACGTGCTCCCCCACGCACAGGCTGCAATAGTACAATCATTTATTTTAACTGATGATAAAAATCAGGAAAAAAGGCTTTTAACAGGTATTTAATCCAATCATTACGTAGCATTAAATAAATGACCGGCCTTGCGACTCAAAACAAAGCCATGTGTTTACAAGGGGGAGAATGATATAGCTATTTTGGAGTGAGGTTGTAAATCTATGGTGTCCATTCAACACAATAGATACATGACGCATTTTTCGGTGGTGTCCTTAACCAAGCAACCGATATCTGTCAAAACGTATCTCTTAATTAAGGGATCAATTACCCCGACCCCCTTGTTCGCACGTCTTCTACCCGAAACAAAATAAAACTGAATCGTTCTCCTTGATGAAGAGTCTCTGTAACAATTGCCACCTTGTCTTGTTGGTTTGACCCGCCTCTGCTGCAAATCCAATACTCCCATTCTCCATATTACTGTAATCAAACTAAAATACCTCTATATTAGAAATTAGCTGAAAACTCTTAGTTCACTGCAAGAGCGGAGTGGTCCCAACGTTAATATTTTCCGATAAAAACTGGCGATAGTAATTCATTTGCAATAGTGGGTGGAATTAAAACACAACAGGACTATTAGTTCGATTTTTGTGTTTATGAACAGGAATTCAAGACTGTGTATCAAGTTGTGTTCTTCTTCAAATACCCGCTTCATTTGTTTACAATTAGCTTTTTAATTCTTTTCTTTAACACTTGGAAGATGCATTGATTAAGTTTGGATCGAAAGTCTCCAGAATAATTTAACGCAGTGCTCAGTCTCAAACTTCAGTGTACGATTTGTCTTTCAGTATCGCTACTTCACTTTTTTCGGGAAAATACTACCTTTTTTCTGATATTCTGTGTAGTTTAGGTTTTATATTATTGAGACTCTTTCGGACTCGGATTAACCACTTACAGACTTTCTGTATTACAGCTGAACATTAAAGAACCTCCTAAAGGAAGTTCTCTTTTGGGACTTGCTTTTATTTCTTATTTGGATGTGTATGCCTTTTTATGTCCGCTATGTGAACTCGAATATATGACATTGATTGTAATGAGAACATATCGCGAAAATTGCATTTTCCAGATATTCTAGATTTTTTGGTTAGATGTAAAAACTACATTCTAGAAGTGGAATTTTAACAACTGCCAAACTTTTGATAGCCAAATAAAGACACGGATTGAAAAGATTAGGAAAACTACTTAAACTAAGGAATCTTTTATTAAATAAAGATGTGCAAATTAATTAACGAAAACTTTATTCTGTGAGCGGTATATTACAAGCCAAATGATTTTAAACGTTTCATTTTCCATTCAAGTATGGATATTTCTGTTTTGTCTACAAGGTAAGTACATGTAATAATTATTATTTTTTATTAATCAAGTCTTTATTGAAAAAAAAGGTTTAATACAAATATTGACATTAAACAAGTAAATAATGCAAATGTTAAATACAAAAGAAATAGCGTTTTCATTATTAGATGTGTCACCCCTATAACTCTGTTTGAAATGTCACAAGTTTGATTACTTCATGCGGGTAGAGAACTGTCCTATAGAGTTTCAATGTAAAACACGATGAACCATTACTATAATCAATATGCCAAAATATCCTATTGCGGAACATGTGCTTGTCAATTACGATAGCTTTCGTGTATGTATTTTGATATCCTCCAATTACATACAACGTGACAATGCTGTGGATTCTGCCATTTAATCGGTGTAATGCGGAAACTGAAGCATTGGTACTTCGGGATGGGGGAGGGGTGGGTAACGAACAGCAAGCAGTCACCGTAAGGTTTTCATCCCCAGGTTAAAAAATACTGGAGAATACCCGAGGTTTGGAATGCATATTATAACCATCCCTCTCCGAGTAATTAGGATGCCTAAAAAACGTATTTGTTATCAGACTCTTTGTCGTTAATAAGGAACTGGGTATTTTGCGTCATCGCTAATAACATTATCAGAGAGCGAAAAATATGTTACATTGACCAGGTAGCAAATAGTCAAGATACTGTGGAGTCAATAGGGTGGGTCAATAAAGCCATTCGTTTATTCAGTAGAGACCGCGATTATGGAATCTGAACAATTTCCAATGCAAAAATAGAAGGCTAACATGCAACGACAATTACAGTCCTGTAGATACTGACGTCATAGTCGCACATTCAGTCATATTTGCTTAAAATATTAGAACAGATAGAGAAACTCAAGCAATTAATCAAATTAAGAAGTAGAAATTGTGCAAACTTCCAATTGTGCTCAGATTTGTTTCAGAAGTGTTAATTACTTAATCTCGAACATTGGACTATATCACTGAATTACCCTGTGTTGGAACTTTGCTGCAGAACGAGGTTCATTCGAAGTTTTTTTTATTTGAAACTAATGTTTTAATTAAATGCATAAAAATTTAATTTTAATATTTTAATGTATTTTACCATTTTTTTTCTTCACCAATGCATAGGCACATTCTTAAACTCTCAGTCTCTTTGGTCCTTGACGTTATCATATGTTCATAAATACCGGACTACATTAAAGTCCACAGTATTTAAACCTCCTTGACATGCTTGCGTAACACAGGACCACATTGTTACAACGGAATTTGTTTGTGTTAATAGCATTTTATGAATATTTTCAAAAACAATGAACGTTTATCAAAAAAATTCATTGGATATGTTGCAAACAATCTATTGATCTGACTTGTTAAAACGAAAAGTTTGTCTGTCTAGCTATGCAAAGTATCTGGTGATAGATGAAAAAGCAATATATATCATTATATTCACCTTTTTCATGCAGAAAATAGGAAAATGCACCTAATTTTATTTATTTTTATTTGTTTTTTATTTATATCTGTTACCTTTACTAGGGGCTTCTACTGAATGTACTTAACCCTTGTCTCTCCCCGGGCACCGGCTATTGCTCACATCCAATTGACAGGTGTCTCTCCGTGTTGGTAACCTGTCTCCCTGCAACATTGAGAATGAAATAATAGGAACATAATGATAGATTTACACTTAACCGACAATCGTTTCGAGTTCAAAGTAACTTAAGAACAAATAAGAAATGTAAATTCTAACCTTTTTGTATCAGTAAAATTTGAAGGTCTTCATGTTTCTAAGATATAACGTATCACTTAGAGGTGGATAATTGTGATTCGAAAATGCTTAACGTTATAAGCTTTTTAAAATACTTATTTATGAAATATACTTTCTCGAGAAAAATGATACTTTTATTTTTAAAATAATATTTGTATGATAGTATTTTATACAAAAAAAAAATTTGGTGAGTTTATTTTATAATTGCTGAGAGGAAAGAATTTAAATTCTTTATTCACTTACTCATCGAAGGCAGGGAATCCTCCTCTCAAAATTAAACATGATAAAGAAAACAACAACATTGTTTTTATTAATATTTATTGCGAATATGCTCGAGTCTTTACAATAAAGACTACTTGATTGGTAATACTAAATAGTGTTATGCATGAACAGATACATACGCAAAAAAAAACCTGGGAAGTTATTGATTCAAAATTGGAAGACAACTTTGGATATCTCGAACACCCGAATATCTCGAAGTTTTGTTCAGGTACCCTCGAATTCGAGATACTGATATTTCACTGTGCCATTTAATACAAAATTTGCAACATGTCAACAATGAGTTTTTTTTTAAAAATATATACCAACAAAATCATGTGCTTCTGAATTTTTCATTGTATTGGATTACCTGCCATCAGTATACAAAATGAGTTTTTCTTAAAATTATCTAAAAAAATCTTATTTAATGATTATTCAAGCAACATTGTGCAAACCTTTAATGCACTTAAAACCGTTGATCTCTATTAATATGCACTTTGGTCCACCTTACTCTTAAAAGATGGGCTAGGCAAATTATTTCAGATTAACTATAACCAAGTGTCATCAATAATGATGTCCAAACATACTCACTTCAAAGAATTAAAAGCTAGCGGTAATAATTGTCTTCTAACATAGTGTTAAAAGGACGGTGTCGTACCGGAAAACCAGAAGTACAAAGGGAAACTGTACGACTTTCCTAGCGATTTCGCTCATATTTGCAGCAATTGCACCTTTAAGAATTAATGCACCAGTCCTGCAATAAGGCTGCATATTTACATGTGCCCTTTGGATGCGTATGTTATTAATTGGAAGGCCTCTGAAGAAAATCATAATCGTAGATAAATTTTAATTCTTGATGTTTTGCGGCATATGGTTATCGGCCTTTTGTGATCCAAGATATCAACGCCGATCCCATGCTATTTTATAATGACACTTATATGGAAAAAAATATTACAGACTACAAAAAGAAGTTCTTTTGATAAGAGGGGAAAATTGTTGGATCTGAACTATTATTGAATAGAAAAAAAGTCAGATTAGATCCACAAACAAGTTCCGACTACCACAAACTGACTGAACAAAATAAATCAAACGGATAATTTTCATTAATCTTAGATATTAGTGTCTTAGATATAAATGTTTCAAATGAAAATTGTTTTTCAAATGAGCTTTTAACATTGAAAATCCCTGAACCCACATCACTTTAAAGTATGTTTTTTATCATGTTTCTAAGAACAAATATTGCAGACATAAAGAGAAACGATTCTATTGATACCATGTGAAAAAAATCTATAATAGCAAATACATTTTTTTTTAAAATTAATATTCTTAAAATATTTGCTGTCTGGAAGAAAAACTTTTTTTTCTGATATCACTATGACAAAATCTTTGCATTAAGTCAATGAGAAAATATGGTGACCGCACACTATTCGATTTTCTTCTTCGAAAGTCTGGTTGATTTTTTTTTTATCCATGAGTCCAAAAGATTTCTTCCTTCTTTTGAAAAAAAAAATGAGTTAATAAAATAAACAGGAATTCAAACGATATTTAAAAATATACTATCTGTACAATTATCACATAACATCACCTTCATCTCTGTAACGTTGTTTCTCAAAGGACATAAAGTATGTTCCAGAAGAACTTTTCGCAACATTTTATACAATATCAAATAAATACTGAGTTAATAAAAAGAGTTAATAAAATAAACAGGAATTCAAATGATATTTAAAAATAACTACATGTACATTTATCACATCACCGTCACAACTGTAACATTGTATCTCAAAGGACATAAAGTATGTTCCACAAGAATTTTTCGCAACATTTTATACAATATCATATTTGTAAAAAAAAAATCTGATTTGTTTTCAAACAAAATATAGTTCAAAAGAGCAAGAGCCATGTTGGGCCTTATTTGGCCCTGAGAATTTCTGAAAAATTAAAACCGCTCAGTTTAGGCTGCAAATGTAGTATTTATCACTTGGAGTGTTGGTGATCACGAATCTATTAATTGTGACGTAATTTCCCATCTAGTCAATGCATTATGACGTCATAAAATACGTCATTTTCCTCATATCCTGAAAATTCCTTTGAAAATGACCTAAAGTTGAAGCATTTTTTCAATATTCCATATAGAGCACAACCTCTGATCCAATATATGCAAATACATAATGAAAGCTCTGTTCCTGAAGATCAAAAAACATTTTTATTTTTTGGACATATTTTAATTCTTTGCTGAAGGTATCAAATTGTTTTCTGCAAATTTCAAAAAATGCAATTTCTCAAACCTGTTTTCAAATATCTGGTTTTTAAAAACGAAATTTTATTATAGAAAATGAAAGCGCCAAGTGTCTACTTTATTTTGATATATGAAATGGGAAAGAGAGTGATAGTTAATTAATTGATATAAGTACAGGGCCATTTTATGCATAAGATGGCTCTTGCTCTTTCTAAACCAGTTATTATCCACTTTGGATACATACAACATGTGACATACAAGTTTGAATACAGGAATCTTATATTTACAAGCAAGAATGGTTGTTTCCAGCAAATATTCGAATGTGACGTACATTCCGTCATTACGTTATTGACAAATAGGAACGAAAACAACAAATAATGATGGACCCCTTTCCGAAGTAGCGACCATTTTCAAAAATTTAAATCTCCGTGACTTTAATTTGATGCTTGTCAATATACTAGTTGAAATCGAGGGTTCTTCTCCAAAAATGATTGAGAAAAGAAAGACCTTTTGATCGAACCTATGGCTTGAAGAAAAGTTATGAAACTTGAAATCTGATGCCACAAAAGTGACGTCCTTGGTGCCATGGGGAGACTATGAACTGACATATTTTGGCCTTCAAACTAGAGTAGGTTCAATGAAGTTTTTTTTAATTTTTTTTTTTCTCTCTCAAAAAGTTTTGACATTGCACCAATTTCAAAGGGTACGGAGGTAAAACGTAATGACATTGGCCGTATGATCTGAGAAGGATTCCCCGTTGCTT